GGTTTATTATAAATCAAGCATTATGAAATTCCCGTATTTACTGATGGTTTATTATAAATCAAGCATTATGAAATATCAGTAAAGGCGGTTTATTATAAATCAAGCATTATGAAAACACACATTTTTGACTAGAAAGGGACATGCCGATTTTCTGTAAATACGTTTGTTTAAGCGCAAATCTGCATAATGAGCTATCTGCGCTGTTCCCAACACAGGGATAGGGCCCTGAATTCTAGCGTTATAAACCTTCAGCTACAGAAGAGGCAATTTTAGCGAAACCTTTCGTATAATTTGTTTGAACGCAAAACTAAACAATGAGCTCTTTGCACTGCAGGAATGTAACCCAGGATTTTAGCTATATAAGCCCCGAAGGCATACCACTGAGGGGCTTTCTTATATGAACCATGCTGGTTATACAAAATTACTGTTAGTAATGAAAAAGGTTCTCAACTTCCTCTTTATTATGGCTGAACGCGTCTTGTACAGGTCTTCCCACCCACGCCTACTCCTTACTGTGAGTTACATAAAGGCTTATTCTTGAATATTTTTATCATGAATTTAATGTTTCATTTTAAAAGCTGTTTACCTGAATCACAAAAGTCTATCGTTTGAACTATATTTATATTTTTTTTATAAGGTCATGTTTCATACAGAAAGATAAGCATACGTGAAGTCGCAAGTCAAGAGTTCGTCAGAACACACAACTTTATCTTACATAAAAAAAGTTTCAAAATATACGACATTTTATAAGATGCATCTTGAACGTAGGTCCCTCTGGTGGCTTAGCGGCAGATTCGAAGCCTTATAACGCTAAAATCGCATTGTGTAGCTTTGCGCTTAAAAACAAAAAACGCCGAGTATTTCAGACCAATACATGAGGACTATTTGTGCACAACCGTCACTAATTTTGAACTGAAAGACTAGAGGAAAAGCAGCTAGTCATCAGCATCCACCGCCAACTCTTGGGCTATTCTTATCTGCCCGAGTAGTAGGACTTGATCGCCACTCTTATAACGCACACACGGCACCAACGTATGAAGCACGGGACCCTAACAACTGGGCCACGCCAGGTACTCGTCATCAGTTAACTTAGTGTATTTATGTTTTTTATTCGTCCTTCAGTTAAGAATGAAGTAGCTATTAATTATCTGTTGTTGTTTTGGGATTTCTCAACTGGTTTCTGCTCATTGATTTATTTTAACAGAGGGATAATATCCGAATCTCGGATTCGGGACCGTTATTTACATAACTTTCTATCTATCTAGATAGATTTTTCACAGCATATTTTTTATTAAAACAACTAACCTAGTTTTTACAAGTTTGACATCAAACGAACAATGACAGCAAGAGAAAACATATTTATCCATTAAGCCATTATAGATTACCGTTATACCCATACGTACGGTAATGTTTATATATAAATATTAAACATTCACATATGGTTGATATTTTCAAGTTACAATGAGAGCAAGAGAAAACATATTTATCCATTAAGCCATTATAGATTACCGCTATACCCACACGTACGGTAATGTTTATATATAAATATTAAACATTACCGTACGTATGGTTGATATTTTCAAGTTACAATGAGAGCAAGAGAAAACATATTTATCCATTACGCCATTATAGATTACCGTTATACCCATACGTACGGTAATGTTTATATATAAATATTAAACATTACCGTACGTATGGTTGATATTTTCAAGTTTGTTTGTTTTTTAATCAGCAACCTGAAACCGTTAATTGCAAAAAATTATTATAAAGGCGAGAGCTTTTGTAAGGATTAATTTAATATGTTGCTTGCTACTAACTTTACCGTCTGTTCCCCTTTCCAGTCAAAAATGTGTGTTGGTCACATCGATTAGTAACTGACACTACTCTACGACATCTGTATAAGTGGTCACATCAAGTAGTAATTAACACCATTGTTTGACTTCTACATAAGTGGTGACTTTAAGTTATAATTAACTCTATTATTTGTGTTATTTTTCATTATTAACTGAGATAGGTACATGTCTTGTACATATTAGTTTTCAAGAAGAAAGTAATATTACTACAAACTTTGTATTCAGGTTATTATTTTTATGTAATAATTAACATTGAAGTTGTACATACACTGTAAGATAATTAATTCACATATGTACTAAGAAATACTGTACTGGCAGCCTGTATACATACAGCCATTAACACTAAACTAGACCATCTGCCTTTACCAAACAGTATATTGTAATACACTGAAAATACTACGAAGTCCAGAAAAGTGTTTTCCCAGCTATGATGAAGTAATCAAACACCATTTAAATTGTTCTGTAAACTATACGTACACATAACAAATTTGCAATGGTTCTATTTCATTTTTTATCACTAAACATTTATTTTTGTAGAAATGAATAAAAACCCTATAACACGAGCTCTTTCAAAAGGTGGACCTTTCTTCTTCAAGTTCAGGGGCAAACTGGAGAAAGGTCCACCTTTCAAAAGCGCTTGGGTCATAGGGTTTTTATTCATTTCTCTCAAGACTTCTTGAACCTACATGTTTTTCTAACATTTATATTGTATTAGTTTTTCATTATAAGGACGAAGTGCAATGTAATAACGTTATTGGTCTATAAATATATATTCTACAGATAAATTATATAGCACTATTGAGTTAGATAACTTAATAAAAGGAAAACTCGAATTATCAAGGAATGTATATGAAAGTTCTGAAAAAGACATGTAATAATGATATAGTTAAAACTAATAATTTATGATAATGCTAACTAATTTTAAATACGGCTTTTTCCCTCTCGCTTTATCATCCTGTTAACCACACCTTTCTCTCGGTACTGTAACGTAGTAAAGTCGCAATCGAGCATCTATGTGGCTCGCCATTTCAGTTTTCACTTCTCAGGTGAAAGTAGGCCTATCAATGTCATTGCATGATGATACTTCACGGCACTACCGAGGAGTAATACAACACAAACACGTTTAACAGTAGGTTTGGGGATAATCACACAAAAAAATATTAAAAGGCAAACATGACAAAGTCAGGAAGTTTTCGCTCACATACGATTAAAAGTTTGCATCGTCACTAAGTTCAAGATCAAATATACATCTCTCTGCGCAAGTACAGAACCATCAGCTTCCTCCCGTACTCTGGATAACAGAGAGCTAGGAGATGATTAAATGAGGTTTAATAAGTGCCAACAAAGGTAAAATCGCACTATATCACGTACCGATATATTTTGGAAGTGAAATCGCAAACTGAATTATAGTCACTTCTTGAAAAAACTTCGGATCACCTTGTCACTAAAAAACACCCGTAAAAATTTGTTGACAAAAAAAAATCTACAATTACAAAACAAGACATCTATAACAGAACTGACTGATTCTAGGCTCCTTATGAGGGTAAGCAGCGCCGCCACGGGTGCGGCTTATAGAGAATGCGTCTTTCTCCGTGCGTGGATAGAAACAAGAATATACCGTATGCGCAACACCACAGTTATGGTACAGCGCTATTTATAACAGACCAACATGCCAAACTGTCGAAATTCTTGCTATTTTCCGAGTCAGTCGACGCTAGAAACGCAGATAAGATCCTCTTTACATATATATGTTATCTTTATTGTTCAAGAGCAGACTTTCGGAAAATTGCTTTCTGTCATCGTGTGAGAACAAAATATACTAATAGCGGTTGTAAGCTAGTTTTAGGGTGGATAAAAAAAATGTACAGCCAGAATTCGTCGCTACTTTCCATACGTAAGGTAAAAATCAGCCAGCTGTTTTTTGAATACGCCTATAATTTAACTCCAACCAACAGCCAAAGAGATGAGACTGACACAAAGACATACTATTAGATGAATATGTCATATAACCCTACGAGAAAAACCAAATAAGCTATCATTAAGGAACAGAAAGGTAGACACAATTACTTGAATTTAGAGATAAATGCAGACGCTGAAAATAATTACACGAATTGATCTTACCCTTTCTTAGGTCCATAAGACGGCGCTTCAGTTGATGGTGTGGAAGTCATGTTAGAAGGGATGATAAAGTCGAAAGGAAAGTTCGTGGAATCTGGAGTGCTGACTGAAACAGGTTTCTGAGATTCGAAGAGCGAGACTCGAACCCGAGAGGGAGAAAGGCCTTCACTGCAAACAAAAAAAAAAGGACAATACAGAGAATAAGATCACGATTACTTATAAGTTATCTTTATTTAAAATCATACCATAAGTAGTGTTAACATAGCAAGGTTTCTTAGAAATTCTACCAAACTGGGCACGTTTCATATACAGCCATCAACATGATTCAGAACATATTTCGTCATATGTCCTGAATGACGGCAAGGATCTTGTGTTTGTGTGAGATTGTCTGATGTTAAAGCAGTATTTCTAATAAGCACTGCTCCCTCTTCCATCAGTGATATCCGGCTTGGATGTCTGATGTTAAGTCAGAATTAATGTTTTATAATAGAAGTTAGTGTTACAAAAGAAGCGGTCACATCGAGTAGTAACTGACACTACTCTACGACATCTGTACAAGGTACAGATGTCGTAGAGTAGTGTCAGTTACTACTCGCGGTCACATAAGCGGTCACATCGAGTAGTAACTGACACTACTCTACGACATCTGTACAAGACGACATCTGTACAGAGTAGTGTCAGTTACTACTCGATGTGACCGCTTATTCAGGTTTCATACTACAGGAATGTTAAGAACTTCTAATGGGACATATTGTACAGATGTCATGCATTACTGTTAATTACTGCTTGATGTAACCACTTTTACAGATGTCATACTGTAGTGTCAGTTACTACTCAATGTGACCATTTCTATAGATATTATACAGTGGTGTTAATTACTGGTTGATGTGACCACTTTTACAGATGTCATACATTAGTGTTAATTACTAGTATAGATGTCATACATTAGTGTTAATTACTAG